GGCAGTGTGCTGCCACCGCACATCAATCCTTCATGTTTCGACTGGAAGCGGGTGTACCAGCGTAGTAGTGGTCCGTAGATAAGATGAGGTCACGCATTCCCAACGAGATCGCCGCGGCTCGATAGGGTATTACCTGATAGCGGGTCGGTCTCTATAAAAGGCAGGGAGCTGGGGCCTTGGGCTCAGACTGCTTGCAGTGCCCCGCCTGAGGCTTGCTGCGCACTGAGCGCTGTGCGCTGTCCTTCACCCTCGCGGGGCGCCCCCTGCCCGCCCCTGGCGGCCCCTGGCCATGGCTTCGCACAGGTGAGCAGACGAGGGCGGAACGAAAATCGAAGCGCCCGTTACGAAAGGGTTTAAGTTGTCAGGGGCGCCGCTGCGCGCTGCGCCGCTCCATCGAGCAGGCCGGCAAGCCCAGGGCAAGCTCAGCCAGGCCGGGGCCATCAGAGCGACCCGCGTTCTGTTTTTCACGAGGAGCCATTAGGCCGGTGACATCAATCACGGTGTAAACAAGCCGGTGTGTGCGCTGGGCTGGGGAGTGATCGCCTCGAGGAGTCGCTGTCACTCGAATGGCGAGATGACCCCGCGCGACCATTGCGCCAATGAGAATGCCAAATTATCCTTGAAAACATAAACAAACAGGACTGAACTATTATTGACGCGCTGGGCGAGCATCACAATGGTGAGGGCACTCGTGCAGTGGTGCCCACAAACCAATATTGCTACTGGAAACAGCTGGCGGCAGCCGACGGCGCCACTTCTGCCAAAACACAGCGCAGCGTACCCGGTGCGCAGTGTGCCAGAAGAGCGGTGGGGGCGGCGAAAACTCGAGACGCGTTTTGAGCACCAGACTCGCTAAACAGGACTCGGACCGAACGTGTGACCCCACCAATGGATTCCTCGTTCGGAGAGCAATCCAATGATGGGGTCACACGTTCGATTCGAGTCCCAGTGATTCTGGGGCTCAAAATGGGTCTTTAGTCTTGGCCGCCTCCACCGGTCTTCTGGCCCACTGTGCGCTGCCCGTCGGTTCCGTGCAGAGCGGCGCGCAGTGGGGTGGGTTGTTTAGCGAGCAGGCTCCTTCGTGTCGACGTCTCGGGTTCCCGTTTCCATCGCCGTCACCGCCAGATTGAAATATGTCCCCGCGGCGGGCCGCGCTGAGTGTTCAGTCTCACTTTACGCCTTGAACAAAGCGACCGGGGTGGGCCGGGCCGGGCCGCCGCGGGGTCGATGTGTCCGGGTGGGCGGCTCGGCTCGGCTCGGCTTGGCTCCCTTTGCTTTGATACGGGGGATGGTACTGCGCGCCCCGGCCGCCCCGGCGAACCCTCGGAGCTAGGTCCCCTTTGGTGCCTTCGGTCGCCGTGCACCCGGCGCGCCGCGACCCCGCACCCTCGCCCGCGCCCTCGCCCCAGCCCCACTCTCTGCCCGGCCCCGCCCCACTGAGCCCCTCTTGAATCGGGCGGTGGTGTCGAGGTTTCGGCGGCTTTCAGGCAAATCGGTTCTTGACTAGCTAGGAAGCGAGAGCGAAGCGAAGCGGTGTCGAATGCTGAAGGCACCCTTGGCGGTCGGGCCGGGCCGGGCGGCGCTGAAGAGACGCGTGATCCATCCCATTTAGGTCAACGGGGATATTGAACCGCGGGGCGCGGCGGGGCGCGGCGGGGCGCCGTGCCATGGCATGGCAGTGTGTCGTGGAAGGGCCTTGGAGGGCGAAGCAGCGAAGCGATTCCGGCCCCAGCGGGGTTCGAACCCTCGACGATAAAAGCCGTCAATACCTTCCTTTAAGTCTTAAACTCATAGAAATCATTCTCTTGAATTCTAAGCCTTGTCCCAATGACAGCCAACTTCTATCAATTTTTGTTTTCGAAGGATTTCAACTTAATGCAAATTTGCCACCCCTTCGCAAGTCATCCATTTGTGTAGAAATATGTCGAAATCCCGCGCGGCCACCAGCAAGCTCAGGCCATGCCTGTTCTGGATGCGTCCCACGCTTGTCTTAAAGCAGGCGGTCCGAAGGGGTCCGAAGGGCGGCCTAGGCATCAGACGGCACTGCGCTTTGCCTCGGCTTTGCCGCTACGTGACCCTCCCCTGGTGCGCCACCAGCCTCCACCAGCCGGTCTAGCCCTGCCCGGCCTGGGGCCCCCTGCGGCTCCCTGCGGGGCGGGCCCCTGCCTGCGGCCGCCTGTGTCCGTGGCGGTTGGCCCAGGTGTCGACAAGGGCGCTTCGTGCTTCGCGGTGCTCCGTGCCGCGGTTCCCAACGCTTCCTCCTCCACCGGTCGATGGCTGTGGCCGGTGGCTCTGGGTGCGTGTGCGTGCGTGCGCGTGCGTGCCGCGTGTCGCATCGATGCGGGCAGGATGCCCTGGCTTCGACACACACACAGACACACACACACGGACACACAACCCTGTCGCTGACCACCCTAAACGCCACTCTGCATGTGAGAGAGACAGAGAAAGTGAGTTGCGGCGCCCTTGGTTTGCGTGATGGCTCTACACCTCCATCAGTCCACAGGCCGACCACGTAGTGGCCTCTGTCCATCATTGCACAGTGTGCTGGCAGGGCGGTAGACAAGCAACTGAGGCGAGTTTCCAACAGCAGCCACTCCACTGTTGAGGCCCCACCCCCGCCGTGAGTTTGCGGACTGAGCGTCAGTTTGCAGCGCAAAAGTTGCCCGCCCTTCCCCATTCCTCTTCGCCCTTCGTGCTTCGTCCGCCTGGCCGGGACTTGTCCAAGGTCATCCGATTAGACGGGCACGGGCCTCAACCTGTGACATTCTGTGCTGCCCCGCGCGGCCCGGCGACCCCCCCAGACTCGCGGACGTACATACGTCACAAGGCCTGGGAGAGCGCTTCCCTGGGCCAGGCCGGCCAGGCGGTCCCTTTGCGAAAACCGAAGCCGCAGAACTGGCTGTTGGATGAAGCGCCGCCACACTGTGAGAAAAAAGTACGGACGCCCCGGCAGTGCGAGAGAGACGGGAGCCACCCCTCCGCTCGCCGCGGCTCGGCTAAGTGGGGCCGCGGCGGCGTGGGACGCGACCTCCCTTTGTTGACAGTGTGTCCGCTGCGGCAGCCGTTTGATTCCGAACAGCGCTCGTCGCTCTGTCTCCCTCGCACTCACGGGGCGCCTCGAAGGGGTGCGAGAGAGACAGCGCCGCTCGGAAGCCAGCTGCAGGCGGATGCAGGGCTGCTGCTCACTTGATTGGGGAAGTCTCGGGACAATCCCCGGATAACGGCCCGCCTTCCGTGCTTCGGCCCGCTTCGCCGTGTCCCCCTCGCACCGCCACGGCTCGCACCGCGAGTGCGAGAGAGACAGAGCGACGCAAGCACTGCCCGGCGCCGTGATGAGATTTAGATTACCCAGGCAGTGCCATCGCGGATTAGGCGACTCGGACAGTCTGGCTTCGAATCGCAAATCGCGCGTCGCACTCTGGCCTGCGTGGCGGAAGGGAAGCTCACTCCTCGTGCAAGGAAAACAGAAAACAGTGTGGTGGGCCGCGTGAGTTTGGTGCGCCTGTGGGTAGGCAACCCATCGGGGGGCCGCATATTCCTTGAAACGTGATTTAATCTGGCTGTGGCTTCATTGCAAGTAGCCGAAAAACACCCTGATACGCCGTCAGTGTGTGCGTTACGGTGTGTGTGTGTGTGTGGCGATTGAAAGTGGTCGTCGTCTGCGCCTTTGTGGCGACGGTCTGGTGGCGGTCTGGTCGTCCCGCTCCAGTCCGAGACAAAGCCCCCGCGTGGCCGGGGCGCTAGGCGGCGCTAGGCGGCGCTAGGCACGTGCAGGTGCCTGCGCTCGTGCATGGCGTCGCGTGCCGCGTGCCAGGCGACGCCAGGCGTGCACCGCGGATGGATTGTGTAACGCGTGTCTGGAGCATCGTCCGTACTTCGCCCTTCTGCGTTTCTCGGCTGCCCCCGCGGCCCCCGGACGGGACGGGCCCGGACGGGACGGGCCCGGACGGCCCCGGCACCACCCTCCGCCTCGCCTGGATGGAGGGGGCTGGATATCGATTTTCTCTCGCACCGCGCTGCTGCCGAGTGGACGGAGTGGGGCTCGGAGTGGGGCCCCGGGGGCGGGGGCGGAGATGAGGGGCTGGGGGGCAGCCGTCTTCTTCCGCCCCCTTGCTACCCCGCCTCTGGGAGGGGGCGGCAGTTTTTTGTTCCGCGTGGAGAGCGGGGACTGGGGAGGGGGGTGCTCGCCGCGCTCGCCGCGCTCGCCGCGCTCGCCCTGGATGCTGCTGGTCCTGGTCCTGGAGCTTGCTGGAGCTGGATCGGACCGGCTGGATCCGGCGTGCTCTGAGCGTGCTTCCAGCGTGCTGCGCAGTGCCTGGCTCCCCGGCGGCCCCAGCAGCCCCGCCAGCGGCGCCAACCCTGTTGATTCCCCTTGCGCCTCCACCCCGCCTCCGCCCCGCCCCCTGAGCTTTTTCCCGTGAATGTACACCTCTCCCCCTCTCCCCCTCGCCAAGCCCGGAGGCTGAGCTCGGTTCGTTACCCAACACGGCAGAGGCGCGCTGGCGCGCTGCACAGATCGCGCCCCCCGGCGCCCCCTTCCCCTTCCCCTCACCTGTCTGCCCCAACGTTTTGGCGAGTCGCCCCGCGCGGCCCTCTGCGGCCGTGGGCGTCGTGGGCGTCTGCCTCGCCCTCGCCTCGCCTCGCCAGGGAGGGACGCAGCGCGCAGCGCGCAGCGTGGCTGCCTTGGGTCGCTGCGACTCCCCCTGCCCGCCTGCTAGTTGGTCGGAGGGCGACCGGGGGTGGGGTGGGGTGAGGTGAGGTGGCCTTTTGCTGCTCGCTTTTGCATGCACGCTGTGATTCCGGAAACGGGAAATCGCCTTCGAACGGCTGTGAAACTGTCTCGTTGTTTGAGCGTATAGGGTGGGGGCAGGTCGAGCCTGATTCGCGAATTCGCGATTTTCTCATTTGTTTTTGATGTAATGTCACAACCTTGTGCGGAGACGCGGTGTACGCCCCTTTCCAACTTGTTGTAACGTTTCTCGTCGTTTCTGTTGCAGAGTGGTGCCAGCGGCCCCCCCACGGCGCAGCTGTAAGCCTCCCCATGCTTACCCTACGGTTGGTGTCCACGCACTTCCTGAAGCAGCCGTAGTTGGTCAAGATGTGCCTCGACCGTGACATGAACCCGTAGACGGACCACCAGCGCTCCTCGGACTCGGCCTGGACTTCCCCTTCACTGGCGACTCGAATCACTAGAATAAGAGACTTGTGCCGAACGCGCGGCGGCCCTTTCGTTGAAACCAAAGACACTTGTGAGACTCCCCAGCAACGCGAAGAGCGCGAAGAGCGCGGGCGATGTGTAGTGATAGTGTGTAGAGTGAATCACCGAACAGCCTGCAGTGCTGCGACGCGTGTCTGGCGGGGACTTGATCCAAGACCTCGACGCAGTCGACGCACGCCAAGACCTCCCCTTCGTCCACCCTGTGGAACATAGCAAAGGAGTGCCTGTGCGGCTGGCGCGCGGAGAGCGACGACGACTGTTGCGTGGGAGCCATGCGACGCCCCACCCTGTGCGGAGATGTTCGCGCCGTGGACCCGGACGCCGACGATGTGGCGTGCCTGCACCGGGAGGCATCCAGGACGACGTCCAGGACGACGTCGAGGTCCACGTCGGACAGGGGATCATCGTACGGCCAGCCCCAGGACGTCTCGGGGCAGGGCTTGCAGGGCTTGCAGGGCCACCCTCACCGGCAGGGCCTCGGCCGGCTGTCCAGGGTGAAGCGACTCATCACGGACTCGCTGCTCGGTGGGCGCGGAGGGCGCGGGGCCAGCGTGGCGGCCGGGCCGGCCGTCGGGGCGGGGCCGTCCTCGCCCACCCCCCGCGCCAACAAGGCCAGCAAGGCCAGCAAGGCCAGCAAGGCCAGCAAGGCCAACAAGCAGTTCGGCATCCCGCTGTGCGACGTGGCCCTCACCAAGGACGGCGTGCCCGTGGTCGTGGCCAAGATCTGCAGCTACCTGGAGAACCACGGTGAGACTGCCTAGCACCTGTAATGGTAATGGCTGCTCGGCATAGGCAGCACCGCCGAACAGGCCGCTGGGCCGGTTGCCTTGATCAGTTTCTTAATGTGACTTCTTTTGTTCTCTCAGGGCTGCAGTCCGAAGGCTTGTTCCAATCCTCCTCTGCGAATCACCGACTTGCCGATGGGCTGCGTGCCTCCTTGGACCTGGAAGGGTCCGGTGACGTTTTCTCCACTGCCCTGCTGCTGCTGATGTGGCTCAAGGAGCTTCCTGAACCTATCGTTTGGGGCCATGTTGCTGCAGAGCTTTTGTCTGTGCATGACAGTAAGTAACGATCTTTTAATTTGGTTTGAAACTATACCTTTAAATTGCCACTGCACCAAAATATTTTTTAAAGTCTGTTTTGCTCTTATAATGTGATTGACGTATAAATTTGCTTTTTCTTTTCAGAAGTGTCTGAAGAATCAGTAGGAACGTGGCGTCAGGCGATACGTTTAGTGCTTTGCACTTTACCTGAAACAAATTTAAGACTTCTCCGATACATCTTACGTTTCTTGCACCGCTACAACCAGCACCAACAGCAACGCACTTCCAAAAACGGACCACAATCAATGTTGAGTCACCTTGGCTCAATATTTGCCCCATTATTGTTACTCAGAGGGTTTGAATACTATGGTGCTGAACAGCTATCAAGAGCAAGTATTTTAACTTCACGATTGATTCAAGATCATGCATCAGTCTTTCATCAATGGTAGTTATAAATTCAGTGATTTTTACATCCTCTTATACCTATTTAACTTTTATGAGAGAAATACCTCCAACAGTGCCAGAAGATACTAAAATTCATAATTTTGTACTCTACAGGATTTTAGATCATCCAAATGAAGTACCTTCCAAACCAAATGACAAATCTCCCATGTTTTTTAAGAAAAATAATCTTGGAGAAATTTCAAGGATGAATGTAGAAGATACTGAAAATGCAAGCTCGAGTCAGCATAGGAAGCGAAAGGAGAGGAATGAAAGTGCCAATTCAAATCAGAGCCATGACCGTAAAGTTATAAGGTGAGGGTTTATTTCTCTCCATTATATTGTAACTGGTAGCTTGTAACTGTAACTTGTAGCACATGAGGAGAAACATCCTCTTTTGTTCCAGATCAAGCTCAGCAGAACGTCACATTGAATTAACATTTGCTGACAAGACCAATGAAAGCATTCGTCGTGTAAGCAGCCATGAGGACTTCAGTCGGGTAAAGCAGAAGATGAAAGCATCAACATGCAATAAAGCCAAATTTACAACAGTCGTGGAGCTCTCCGACCAGCCGCCAGCTGTTGTAAGTCTGCCTACAGCTATTTAGTTTTAAAAAATTGACTCTTCTTGACTCAAGGCTTACTGTCTTTTTATCTTGTAGCACTTGCCACTTCATGAATGTAACCACATTGACTCACCAATTGCAACCAAAGATGTCAACATATCTACTCAAATCCCTGTACAAGATTCTGGCCTAACACAAAAAGAAAATGAGTTGCTCCGAGATCAGCCATATTCAATCAAAGCACGAGATCGTTACCCTGCTGAGATACATGAAGATGAACACGAGAAGAGGCGAAGCTGTGAGCGTTTCTCTCGTTCTCTTTTACCTCCAAGATCTGTTGCTAGACGTAATGTAGGGCGGAAGAAAAGAACTCACCATTCTTCCAGTACACTTACTGTGGTCAGCAATAAATCTGTTAAAGTAGGTGTTTTTCCAGTATTTCCATTAATTTCCTCAACAAATTTATTGGAATTCTTGAACTGTAATTTCTATTGTTTTGAAATTTTAGGATCAAGATGACAAGGACTTATTCAAAATATCTTCAAATAAACCTGACACCACTGTAACACAACATCCTCCTGACTTGCCCGATCAAAATTCTCTCTCATCTGAAGAACAAGATGATGATTTGGAGCCAGCAGCAGAAATAGATTCACTATCAGATGAATCCCGTCCAGGATCAAGTCACTCATTTCTTCAACTACACCCTCCTGTAAGTGTAGTACCCTCGTGGTCCTCTGTATGTTAAGTGACCGTTCCACCTTCCTGTATTAAATTTTCTGTTTGTTGTAGGAAAGGGAAAGGTCTCCTTCACCATCCATCAGTCCATGCACACCGCCCTTAGATTTGACCACTCTTCACCAGTCAGTTGATAGCAGTGAACCTGTGGCCAGTCGAGTTGGGTGGGACTATGTGAGACCTCAACATCAGGTCAGTATAATTTGTAGGCTGCTTTTTATATGAGTTCATTTAACTCTTTATTGTTTTGTAGCATTTTCTATGTGATAATGTTGAATTAATTCTTTTTCATGTTGTCTAGGAGGAAGATGCTGGGCGAGGAATTCTTCTTTCACCCCGAAACTCAATGATTCTTTCTCGTCGTGTTTTTATGGACCATAACATTCCTCCATCACCGCCAGGGGACCACCATGGATCTTGTCTAGTGAACCCTGCTTTAGATGTTGAAAATGTAATTAAAAAAATGAACAAACAGATTGCAAGGTAAGCTGCCGTCCAATGCTTGTCCAAGTGTACACAATTCTCTTTATACTTTTTTTATTTTATTAATCTTGTGATTCATCTCTATGTTTAGCATTAAGAAAAAATTAAAACGCTATGAAGAAGGCTTTGAGAGGGAATTGGGTTACCGGCCATCCCAGTCTGACAAAATGGCCAACAAGGACATTAAAAAGTTGTGCACGGATTTGAGTCATATTCGCAAGGAGCTAAAGGGTAAGTGCATGAAATCCATTTTGGCTTTGAAAATGGCTGTACTCAAGTTTTTAAATGTTGTGTGCATTATCTGCCCTACAGAGATAAAGGAAAACCCTCTCTCTGCAATGAATACTCAATCAGAAGCTAGATCTATTCACCATTGCGTCTCTGGTTTAGATGGTTCAACTGGGCTAGCATATTTCAGCGGTATTGAAGACACTGTAGCAGAAGTTGAGCGCCGTTTGAAAGAAAAGCGACGTATTGGTGGACGCCCAGAATCTATAGATGACATGTCGCCTGAAGAACATGCTGCAGAGAAACTGGCCATGCAGAAAGCACTTTTGTTGTTGGAAAAAATTTGTGGAAGAGCAAGTAGCAAACAAGACAGGGAGATTGTGCGACCTTTATATGATCGTTATCGTACTTTAAAAAGAATTGTAGCTCGAGCAGGATCAGTGAGTACCTTTAAAAATGGTCTTTGTCATTTTTTCAATACCTTAAATTCCTTTTATAAATAATTATTTTTTCCAGTCAAAGCTGAAGGATAGCATCAATGAGTTGGAAACAATCCATGAACATGAAGCAATGGACTTCACTCCATCAACTTCTTTCTCTATAATGGGAGATGGTAGTGCAGATATGATGCTGCCTGTAGTATCAGTTGGTTCTATTGTAACCAATGCAAGTTCCTCTTCACCTGCCATTGGGTTACAAAACCAGCCGAGCATGGAGGAGACAAGTGACAGCCAGACCAGTTCCTCTGATTCGTTGGGAGAAAATTTACATGCACTTCCTCTGTAAGTAAAACTTTTAATCATTCAGAAATTTTTTTGAATTTTTCCTGAATAACTCATTATCAGTGTGGCCTTATTACACAGGTCAGATCTGGTTTTGCAACTGACTCAAACTCGTGAGGAAAAGAAAAAGTTGAGACGTCTTCTACGTGAGCAGGAAGAACATTTTCAACTGCAGACTGGGCGCCGCATGCAGCGTGAAGACAGAGTGGCTCTCCCTGGTGATGCTGGAGCTGCCAAAGATTTTGCAACCATATATTCATCATACAAACAAACTAAAGCTAAGCTTAGACTCTTGGAGGCATTGGTAGCCAAGCAAAGGTAATCTTAATGTGACACTGAATGATTGCACACTGAAAATTAACGTGTGTACTGAGTACCACTCTATTTTTCAGTGCAGGATGTACCTTATACCTTTTTCTTGTGTGTCTGTGAGTGTATGTAAAAGAGGGTGGGAAAAAGAGGGGGGGGGGATGTTTGATGGGATGGAAGAATCTCCAAGTGTCCCTTTCTTTTTTCTCTATCACATATGTATATGAGCTATTTGATATAAAAATATTTCTTTGTCTTCATTTTGAAGCATGTTTGAATGTGGTTTTCAGCAATTTGACTGTGCCGCTTTTCCTTATTTCTTTTGTTTTTGTGATATTTCCTCTTCCACATATTTATATAGTTATGCTGCTTAGCTATTAACTAGATTAAGAGAACGGCAGGATGTGTAGTGTGTGAAATCAAATATTTTATGCAAAATTTGAATCTTGTACATGGATTGATTTAGAAAGCGACACATCCCCAAGAATCAAAAGATTCTGTGTTTTTGTTTGCACTCGAATCCTTGAGTCCCTGTTCTGTTACACATTCTACAGTACAGTGCACTCAGTCCGTTTTTTCTTTCTTTTTTTTTTCCTGTATAGAAATGTAGTTTCATTTGTTGTGAAGCTCACCGAAGAATGAGGTGTCCAACTAGACTGGTTCAATCAAAAGAAAATGAGTGTAGAATGTTTATGTCCTTGTGGAGGAAGCGAATTTGAAGACACACAATTATCAATTAGTTGTTGCTGTCTCTTAAATTGTATGCATGTGTGACTATGAAATGGGAAGGGAAGCTAAGAAAGAAAGTACTGCAGAACATCAATGATAGTGCAAATATTTTAATAGAGACTGAGCTTACCAGTACAATTTACAATTGTAAATGTTTATTCTTTAAGCACAAAACACAGTAGTGACCAAATCATATTAATTCATAAATGTCCATAAAGATACATTTTAAAATTGAAAAATGTGCATACGTCATTATCAAGAGAGCATTTTATCAAGTACATTATCTCTGCTCTCACAATCTATATGATTTGAACTGTGTTTGTATATTTTGTTTAATGTCAAAAGTTAAGGACCAATGGTCTTAATTAAATGGGCAAAGGTGTTGAAATCATAGATGGCTATATTCTGGGACAAGCCTCAGTTTGTTCCACAGTAGCGTTTAGAGTAAGACATGCAATCTATTTTAAATTCATATTTAAATTGATGTTATCATATGTTACTGTACATGCATAGCAAGTTAAAACCTGTGGTTATTCATTGTAAGCTCCCAAACAAGATTTAGTGTTTGCGGAGCAAAAATTTCAAATTGTAGCTTGTTTGAATTTTAGTTAATTGTGTTACTAGTCACTGATGGAAGTCTTTTGTTGCAATGCAATTTTCGTCTCTAGCAAAAGTCAATGGAGCTAGTGCTTTTGATTTTATTGTGTGTATTCAGAATTTTTTCTGCTTGACCTTTGAGGGTAAGCAGAAATTGTGAACTGCAAATAACAGGCAGTTTTGTATCTATGTAAATATTTTAAATTAATATGTTGTCTGTGTTGTCTTCTGCAAGTATAAATACACTGGAGTAACAAGCACCTGTAATTATTGTTGTTAATTGGTCACTTTTGTTTCAAAATATGAAGTGTGTCTGGAATGCTTTCTTCATAGCTTTAGAATGTTTATCTACTGTTGTTTATCTGTGATGGAAGTAGTGGACGAAATACTTGGTTGGCTGAAGCCTGAATTCGCATTTAACTGTAGTAAGTATTTGTATATACTCTGAGGTCTGCTTTGACTTGCTTTTTACATGATAATACGTCCTGTAATTTCCAATAGCAGCCATGTACCAGCCAAGAAAAAGAGAAAAAGAGTGCAGAATTCTGAAAATTTACAGTGTGTCAGGCCTTTAACAATTTTATACTACATAAAACTGCCAACTGCCAAATTGAAAGCAATCCTATGTTTTAAAACTCAGCGGGGGTCTTTTGTTTAAATAAATAGGAGGAAAAAAGATCTATGACATTTTATTTACATCCTCAAACACCATTTTAATACTATCATTGTACAAGAGGGATGTACAATCGATTTGGGTCAAGCCTGGAGGAAGGAAGTGCTCCAGCAGGTACCAGGTAGAATTTGCAACATTTAAATTTTTTTGCCATAAATGTAAAGCATTTTTTGACAAAAAATTGTTGACCTCAGATTTTCTTTGGTCATTTTCTCAATTGTGTTCAATATGTCTGAATCAAAGAGAAATGGAAATGGTGTAGTGGCTGAGATCAATTTGAAAGGATGTTTTGTTTTACCTTTAAAAGAATCAGTAACAACATGTTATAGAATACTTGTATTCATTTTTTTCATTCAAGAATCACAGCTACAAGAACTCTAACAACACAAGACGTTCAGGAACGTCTCATTACAAACAATACAATAGTGTACTCATCATAGCAGTGGCATAATCATTGTACATGACATGAGTACTAAGTGTATTCATATTTGAAAATATAATGGAAACAGACAACTCCCATTCATATCAAACAAAGGACAAGATAATTATTTCCGAACAAGATTGGTAAATTTTGCATCCCCCTATGAACAAAGAAAAAGTTGAAAATATGGAATGGGTATAGTCCAGGCCACAGGTTTGAAAACAAACAGACTAGTTAGGTGAAGTGCTCAGCTTCTGCAGTGCAGCTGCCATGGCACATATTGAATTTACTCTACCCCCCAAAAAAATAACACAAGGAAAAAAATTGAAATTCTCAATGCAACAAGAAATCGGTGAAACATTTGGCAACTTAAAATATTATATGTACACATTCACACAGTAAAACACATGTCAATTATTTTTTAAATAAAATGGAATGAAACTCTGATGAAATATAAGAATTTAAATAGTTTGCCACATGATTGCATTTAGCATATCTTTACAAAAGAATGATTACAAAAAGAACTTTGCTTGAAATTTTGCTGTGCTCTATGGGCCAGGAAAAGTAGGTAACATTAAATGTCACTCAGGAAATAGATTCGCCACATTCCATTGCACAGTATAGGACACAAATTTCTTACATATTTCATTACAATAGAATACAAATTGTGTGCATTGAGACACAATAAAAAATCATGAAGCTGAAAAAGTGAGAAAAGTTCAAAGGCGAGGGCAAAGTCAAACTTGAGAAGTGAATTTAAGTGGCTACTGAAATCTACAGGGTTATAAATAATTGTCGCTTTCCCACAAATTATCATAATATTTGCCTTTCTATTTTAATTTATGATACATCACGGGAAACCATACGATTTGCTCTTCAATGTGTTGGAATGAGATCAACACTCAACTGAGTGTGATGAGCCGTAAAAAGAACCTACACATGTTCTGAAAATGGATACCTTAGGAGGTCTAATTATTCTTTTGTTTAAAGTGCATCTAACAACACATTGGTTTGGTTTTTTTTCTCTTTTTTGAAAGAACACATTCCCTATATAGATATGATCTACACTAGAAGAGTGCTAGGCACTCTCACAAATCATGATAATTATAATAGTAATAATAATGAATGTAATAATTTGCAAGGCAATAACTTTTCTTAAAATTCTAATTTTGTCAATCACCCACAAAAAAAGGAGTAGATTACATATCATTCTCTTTGGATGAGGATGCCACAGACAGGCATAAACAAATATTTATATTCATTTGTGGCCTTTGTTGCCCAATGGCCGTCGTTCTGTTGACTACTAAAAGAACATAGTCAAACAACAATTTCAATAACATTTAATAAATTCTATACTTTTTGTATACATTACTAACACACAACTGTAAGTTAAGAGTATTTACAAGAGTTCTGAGTATTAGTGCTATAAATAAAGTAATATTATAATACCTTACACACAGTTCAACAATGACTACTACAAACTTCACGTCAGCTACAAATCACGATCAAATATAGACAAATTCTACAAGTAGAAAGGAATAAATATAATAAGACACTATAGACAAATCACTGATTTAAGTAATCTTTTGTACACATAAAATCACTAAACAAAACTCACAATGTCCCAAATAAGGATAACTGTACAGACTTGGTCTCCCCGTATATAACAGAATATCACCGGTCTGGTCTCTCACAGAGACAGAGGCACAAGGCCACATGGCACTCGAATGGGGACCGGGGCTGGGCAGGCTGGGCCACTAGGCTGGGCGGCGCCGAGTGTCAACGCGAGGAGCCGCCACGGGCCGCACCGCGCACCGAACTCAGTCCATGTGCCGGAACTTGTGTGCAGACATCTGCGACAGTCCCAGCACCGCGTAGTGGCAGCTCAGGCAGTGGTAGTGCGTCTGCTTGCCCGAGTGTGCGCACGACTCGGAGTGGCAGGGCTGCGACGGCGTGAACTTCTCGAAGCCGGCCGCCATGATGGAGTCGAGCTTCTGGTGCTGCCGCCGGTGCGCCACCACTTTGTTGGTGTCCGTGCACACAAACTCGCACTTGAGGCAGTGGAAGTGCGAGGCCTTGTTCTGCATGGCGCCCAGCGTGGACGTGTACACGCAGTCCGGCCGGTTGCACGACACGTTGGCACGGAACTGCTGGAAGTCGCCGCCCATGAGCGTGTCCAGGCGCTCGTGGCGCGCAGTGTGCTGCACGAAGCGCGTCTTGTCGCAGAACGAGTAGCCGCAGTCCTGGCGCATGCAGTGGAAGTGCGTCTGGTGCTCCCGGTAGCCGCAGTGCGGGTACTTGCAGTCCTCGTTGAACCTGCGGGCAGACAACAAACCGTCAGGACACGCTGCAAGACGGGGCCACAACGCTGTAGCGCCTGTGAGGTAGGCCACGGGCCGGCCTGCAACACACAGATGTGGAGACGGTGGCCTACCTTAGGCGCAAGGCAGGCCAGCGTCTCCACACCAACGCGTTGCAGGCCGGCCGAGGTGCTCACAAACAGGGGAGAGTGCCTACCTGAACCGTATGTAGCCTTCGGGCACCGGTTCGTCCTTGAGGATGCGCATGCTGTTCTGGATGCGAGCCTTCTTAGCCTCGGGGCTCATGTCCTGGTGGCCGGCCAGGATATGGGGCGACATGGCCCGCTTGAGGGCGAGGTGCTGGTGGAGTCCGGGGACGCCGCCGACGCCAGGGACGCCGTCCAGCCGGTGGTCGAGCAGCCCGTTGGCGGAGAGCGGGTGGGGCGCGCCGAAGCCGGAGGGCGTGCAGGCGAACATGAGCCCCGACGGCGAGGAGTAGATGGCGGGCATGCCGTGCTGCAGGTACGGCAGCCCCTGGGAGGTCATGAGCGCCAGCTGCTGGTTGGCGACTGCCGCCGCCATGGCCGCGTTGAAGGGGTGCGGCGCGAAGGACGGCACCTGGCCGTGCATGCCGGCGTGCGGCGGCAGCCCCAGCGCCACGCCCCCCATGGCCGCAGCCTGCGCGGCGGCCTGGGACGTCATGCCGCCCATGGCCATGGCGGCAGGGTGGTCGGCGGGCAGTCCCGACATGGCGGTGCCGCTGGGCTGGTCGCCGGCGTCCTCGTTGCCGTCCTCGGGGGTGGCGGCGCCCTCACGCTTGAGCGGCGTGCCCGGCGACAGCGCGCCCGTCGAGTGCTTGGCGATGTGCGGCCGCAGCCGCTCCAGCTCCGAGAAGGCCTGGTTGCACGCGTTGCAGTGGTAGTGCTCCTTGCGCTTGAGCTTGCAGAAGGGCCGCGAGCAGCTCTGCTCCGGGCCGTAGCGCACGTGCCTGTCCGGGGACATCCACTCGGGCAGCGTGGCGGGGTGCGCCGCCTGCGAGGCTGTGGCCGCGGGCGTGGAGGCCGTGGAGGCCGAGGACGCCGTGGGCGAGGGCAGCATGGCGTTGCCGGCGTTGCCGGCGTGGCCCGCGCCCGCCTCGGCGTGGTGCTGCAGCAGCCGCGCCAGCGAGTGGCTGCCCGCCATGGCGTTGGCCGCCGCGTTGGCGTCCGGTTCAGTCTTGACGATGTCTGCAAGCAGCGAAGGGAGCGGTAAGAGGCGGCGCACTGGGGCGGCCTTCGCCGGGCGCGCCAAACTGGAGCCCCTCCTGGACAAGCGGCAAGATCTTCGACTACAGCTACGAAACCCGAAAGAAAAGTCATGCATTTGCTACGAAATGCCGCTCCTCGCAACATGGAAACGTCTTTAACTTCAATCGCCCCGTTAAGAACTTTGGCAAAGTGCCCAGAAAGTAAGACGAAAATGAAACAATTTTAGCCTTTTTTGACCAAATATCATCATGACATTGTGATTCCTCTCGGCCGGGCGTCTAGAGTCAAGGTGACCTACGCCTAGACCCACCTGCAACGAAGTGGTGCCTTCGCTCCGGCATGGCCGGCGTGGTCGGCAGGGCGGCACCGGGGACGGGGGAGAAGGGAGGGACAGAGGGGAACGGGGTGGTGGGGGAGAGGGGTAGGGAGGGGGAGGACTTGGGGAGCGTCGCACCCGTCGCGCCCCCCGCGGGGGCACTAGAGGCCCCGCTGGGGGTCCCCGGGGCCAGAGGCGCCAGAGGCCTGGACCCAGAACCACCACCGATAGCGCCGCCACTGCCGCACGAGAGCGCGGACAGGGGGTAGAAAGTGCCGGATGCCCTCACCACTTGAAACAAGAAGAGAGAAAAAAGAGTGAGGGGCGTGGGAGCGTGTGTGTGTGTGTGCGCGAGCGAGCGGGCTGCGGGGCCAGCCGGACCTTGCCGCCGCCAAAGATCGTGCAAAAGGAGTTCTCAAGTTCTCTACTGGTACGGGACAATGCACACTGCCGAGCCGGGCCCTGAAACTAGACGTGGGCGTGCTCACAAAACTACGATCAAAACTACTCTCAAAATTAAATTTTCAAAAAATTAACTGATTAATACACCCTCATGCACCTGCTACACCGGCGTTCTCACTAGCCGCGGCCTCTCCACCACCACTATCCAGCCTGACCACTCCAAACTCGTCGTTCTCGACCTCGACTACTCTGGCTCGGGGAGGCGGCCCCGTCGCGCCCGACTTATGCTAGTGTCCGAAGCGTGCGCGTGTGCGGAGAACAAGCAGTGCCTGGCGACGGCCGAGGGCCGCGAGCTTACCTGTGGTGCGGCTCTGGTCCGCGAGGTGCTGCGGCGTGCTGGGCGGCCGCGACCGCGGCGTGCCTGGGGCCGGCGACGGCGTGCCGGGGTGGCTGCTGCCCGTGCTGCCCCCGGTGCCCGCCAGCGGGGACATGGTGCCGGCGCCGCTGCCGACTGGCGACACTGCACCAAGAACGCAGTGGGTGAGCACAGAGCTGGAGACGACGGACAGACGGACAAACCACCAACGATCACTTACTCTCTCTGTGCGGCGTGCCCATGGCCGCGCTCATGCCCAGGACGAGCACGTCCGCGACGGGCTTGTCGCTGTCCTGGTTGTTGTTGTTGGCCTCGCCGCGGTGCTTGGCCTCGTGCTGGGCCATGTTGGAGTAGCGCACGAAGGAGTAGCCGCACGCCGGCCGCGAGCAGTGGAAGTGCCGGTTGGCGCGATTGCTGCGAAGAGGACGACCGTTAGGCACCGCGAAGAAGACACACCCTTCGAGACTCGAATCAGGGACACTCACCTCGGGCAGCCCGGCAGGCGACAGTCGATGCTGCGGTCGAAGAACACGAAGCCCGGCAGGATGTCGATGTTGTCGTGGAAGTCGCGCGCGTGCATGAGCAGCACGTCCTCGCGGTCCGTGGCGTAGAAGCAGCGCGGCTGCTTGCAGTGGAAGTGGCGCCGGCCGGACAGCGAGCACAGCGCGTCGCCGCACCGCGAGCCCTCGCCCTGCTCGAACAGCATGAAGCCCTCCTGCAGCAGCTCCAGCGTGTTCTGCGAACAAGGGGCAAGCACGGGGTTAGATCGGACTGTCGGACTGAAGGGTGGGGGGCAGGGGAAGGGGGAGGGCGGGGCAGGGAGCGCAGCACGGCGGGGCGGCCGGGGGGAGCGCCGGGAAGGTAGGCCACCCATTCGACTCCGTCGCCAGTCCTTACCGGCGAGGAGGCGCGCTGGCCGGCGTCGTCGTCCGCGGTGGCGGCCGCGGGGTTCAGAGCCGGAGGGGAGCCCGCCGTCCCGAACAAGCCCTGCTGGCCCTGCGGGGGAGGGGCCGGCTGCTGTTGTTGCAGCTGAAGCTGCAGCGGGGACGGCCGGGGCGGCGGGGCGGCCGGGGCATTGGCCGAGGGCTTGGGGAGCTTGAAGCTGGTGAAGATGGCCTGCGGGGTGTCCGGCATGCTGGAGCCCGGCGCGCCAGACATCTGGAATCACGGCCGGGGCGGGGTCAGCACGGCGAACACGGCGTCGAGGCCTCTTGTCAATCCCAATCGACAAGCAGCCGGCGTGTACAGTGCGCGTTCCTCCAGGCGAGGCCGCGGGGGCGGGGAGGGGGTGGGGATGTGGAAGGGGCGTGGCACGGGGCGGGGCGGGGCATACGTCGCACTGTCGACACTTACGTAATCGTTCCACACCTCGATGACCCTGTTCTTGGGCGGGCGTCCGCGCTTTCGGCGGAACATGGCGTCGATGGAGGAGGCGAGGTGCATGGTGGTGAGCGGGTCGCGGCTCTGCGACAGCTTCCGTGAGTACTCGTGCATCTTGTAGTGGTCCAGCCGGCGGAAGGGTTTGTCCGACGGCAAGATGATCTCTCGGCAGTTGTCCTGCAAAGCGCACGGCTCGGTCAGAGACCCGTTCTATTCGCACGGCACGTGGTGTCAAAGTCGAGGTACTCACCCAGGTGCAGTGGTAGTGCTTCTCCTTGTCCTGGTACGGGCAGTCCTGGTCGCAGTGGCACTTGCCGTCGCCGGCCGAGGGCGAGGCTCTGGTGTTACCGCCGACCGTCACGTAGTGCGCCTCGCTGATCTGGTCCTGCGCGTCGTGGTTGCGGGCGTGCTCCAGAACGCCCTCCCTGGCGCGCAGCACCATGGCGCAGCCCTCGGCCCTGCAGTGCCAGTGCTCGCCCCTGCCGGGGACGCCGGGCACCACCTCCACCAGGCCCTGCGCCTGGCCGCAGCGCTCCGCCGTGCAGGGCGAGAACCGCCACGACACGCGCTGCCACAGCGCCTCGTCCTGCAGCACACAAACAAGAGCGTCAAGGTTGTCCGCGGAGACGCGCTCCGAGTCCGGCGGCGTCCTTGTACTCACCGGGAGGCTCTGCGCCTGCGCCTGCTGTGGCGACTGCGACGGCGGCTGTGGTGCGGACGGTGCGGCCTGCGGCGTGTGCCACGAGGCCTGGATGTCGCCGGCCAGGGTGGGCGACGACCGCGTTAGGTCGGTGGGGGCGTCGCCTGGCGTGGAGGAGGCGCCCTCCAGCATGTACGGTGGGGGCAGCATGTCCAGCCCCAGCCGGAAGGGCATGTGCTGCTGCAGGGCCAGCAGCGGGTGTGGCGGCGGCGCCGCGTGATTCGGGCCACCCTGGCTCTGCCCCGGCGACAGCGACCGGCGACCGCCGTCCGCGGGGTCCGCGCCGTGCGTCGGCGGCGGCTGCGGCGCGGCGGGCTGGCCGCCCAGCCCCGCCATGAGCGACTGCAGCGCGCCGACGTCCTCCACGGCGCTGAACTGGTCCGCGAAGGCCTGCCCGTCCACCAGCGACTTCATCATGGACTGCGCCAGCTTGTACTTGCGGTATGCCAGCTCCGAGTCCTTGCGCTCGTGCTTCCGCTTGTGCGAGAAGAGCTGGCCGCTAGAGTGCAGCACGTACGAGCACCCCGACCGGATGCAGTGGATGTGATTGCAGTTCCCGGAGAAGCGGCAGCCCTCGAACGGGCAGGGGTCCTGCTTCATGAACTTCTTGAAGCCGTCGCGCGTCAGCTGCTCGTCCTTGATGTGGTACGTCTTGTGTTTCTCTGTGGGGGCAGAAGACAACCAGCGTCAGCAAGACGAACCCAAACGACGACACAACGCGAAACGAGAGGCACTCACCCATATCCGCCTTGTTCTTGAAGGTGTACTTGCAACCCTCGCGGCGGCAGTGGAAGTGCGTGGTGCGCTGTCCGAAGAACACGCAGTACTCGGTGCGGCACTCCTCCGTGGCGCGGTAGCGCTGGAAGCCCTCCTGGATGATGGCCGAGTCCTTGCGGTGGTAGTTGGCGTGCATCTGCACGTCCGACGTGCTGATGTACACCTTGTCGCAGTTCTCCTTGATGCAGTGGTAGTGCGTCTGCTTGCGGTTGTGCGAGCAGTCGCGGTACCGGTCCGAGCAGTCGTCGTTGGGCGAGTAGCGCATGAAGCCGTGCGCCAGGGATTCGGCGCGCTTCTTGTGCCACTTGAAGTGCCGGATCATCTCCTCCTTCTTCACGAACACGCGCGAGTTGCACTCGATGCAGTGGAAGTGCTCCCTGGAAACAGATTCCGAGTTAGTGGCAGTAGTGTCAGAGCACTGGGAGCGTCGGTCAGGGGTGCCATGAGAATTGGCGCTTCGCGTCCGAGTATCTGCCCGCGGGGCACAGCGCGTCGTCCCCGCGTCGCCTCCAGGTCGTCTCCCCTCCGTCAACCTGCCGCCCGCCTCGCGCATCCCCAGGCGACCACCGACCCTCATCCTTAACAGGTCAAAAGGAAAAAAAGCAAAAAACCGCGAGAAAAAAATCACTAAGCTTCCTTTACCTCCTATTTTTTTCTCTCCGGCGAGGAACAGCCTTATCTAAACGAATGGCAACAACTTCATATCGGGGAAGCCGCGCGGGGTGCCATAAAGGTGTGAGAACCTGGAGAAGAGCTCGCCTGGCCGTGCCGTGCCGTGCCGTGCCTCGACGGCGGGCAATCGAGCTCTCGAAACGGAATAAAATATATGGCATGCCTCCTCTGCGGAGCACTACGGAGCGCGAGATGTCAATACAACGCATTCTGTTTATGGTTTCGGTCCGGCGACCGATGATAATGGCACTGATCTATTCCCCGTCCGCGCGGGGCTGGGCTGGGCGGCGCGGGGCGGCGCGGGGTGGCAGCGCCCAGGGGTGGTCCAGGACCGCGCAGGCAGCGCGGCGTACTGCGCGGCGTACTGCGCGGCCACAATGCATTTCATGCTCGTCAATGCGATGCAATGCGATGCCTAGTCCGCCCCTAATTTGGGTCAACACGCAAACACGCGCACGACTAGGGTCGTCAGCCGTCGTCAGGGGCGCCAACCCGCGGCCACTTTATGGTGGCGTGGCGGTGGGGAAGGCCTGGAAGGCTGCGAGGCGCGAGGAAGATGCGCCCGGCCCGGCCGACCGGCCACGTGGCCGCAGCGAATGGCCGCCAATCAGCCCAGCCGGCACTACACTGGTGGACGCTCCACACTTTCCCGCGCGGCTGTAAATAGTCGGCGCTATTGGACGCCGCGGTGTGAACGCGCGCGGTATCGCACTCGCATTTACAAGCGCGCTCTCTCTGTCTCTCTCGCACCACCGCGGAACGCCCCGCGAGTGCGAGAGAGACGGCGCTGACCACTCACCTGTAGTTGAGGTCCTTGCAGAAGGCGCGGCCGCACTCCAGGGCCGAGCTGAAGCGCTTCACGTAGCGCGAGTAGTCGATGGGGGCGGTCGCCTTGCCCGCCGCCACGCCCGGCCCGGGCACGCCGGGGACGCCGGGGACGGCGGGCACGCCGCCGGGGACGCCGCCAGCGACGCCGCCCAGCCCGGAGGCCGCCAGGGAGGGCATGCCCTGCAGCAGTCCGCCTGCAACACAACGAGCGACACGTCAGTCAGTCAGCCAACCTGCCGGCGTAAATCCAAGATGGGGCCGCGGCGGTGTTGCGGTGACCCGAGCCGGGCCGAGCCGGGCCGGCCCGGGCCACGGACATCGGGGGCAAGTTCATGGCCCTGCCGCGGCACTGCCGCCAGATAGCCATCGGAATGCACTTAAGGTGCACGCACGGACACATACATATACACGCGGCACGGACACACACACACACACACGCGCACTGGGGCGATTAGCTGGGCCCTGCGGGTACTGGGTACCAAGGGTACCAACAGCGTGGGACAAAACAGAGATTCGGCGCGCGTGTATTGGCACTCCCGGGTGCGCGGCGTGGCGGTGTGTTGGTCGGCCTGCGAAGGGCCGGCCGGCACCTGGCATGCGTCCAGTGCAGCCGCGTGCAGACAAGGGTGCCACACACGCACACACGCGCGCGCGCGCACATGTGAGTACCAACCCTCCGCACATAAACCCGCGCGGCGTGTTGGTCCGAGAGGTGAGACATATACAACGACACAGTTGGTACACGGGGGAATGCCGCGGCCGACTACGAAGACGCACTCAGCAGGAGCAAGTATTCCAGCGGCGAAGAGGTATCCATTTCCATTGTAGAGACTTGAGGTAAGATGACTTGGTTCACTAGGTATCACAGACGATCACAGACAACGTTGCGTTACGTATTTTTGTTTTTCCCAATTTTCGTGCTTTCCTTCGTTCCCTGGCGGGGAGCGCGCCCGGCTACATGCCTGGGGTGGTGGCGGTAGCAGCCCTTGCGGGCGACTGGAGTCGGCTCGCCGGCTCGGCCGGCTGGGCCCAGAGCGGCGAGCGCAGCGCCCGGCGCGCGGCGTCCCGGCGGTTACACTTTTTGCCCCGTTTCCCCCACCACCGCCAAAAAACGAGGAAAGGCTGGTCCGTTTGCTCTAAAAAGTGCACTATCACCCCCAAAGCGGCGCGGACTGGGTCGGGCCGGGCGCCGCGGAGGGGTAGGCGACGCCAAGGCGGCCCAGCCGACCAATGGGCGCCCGTCTGGAGGGGGTCGAGGCGGCGGGGGAGCCAACGGCCTGCCAACAGCAAGGCGGCAAGCCCGCAGTCCGTCGCGTGCGAGCTCACCACGAGCTTCGCCGCGCCGCCGACAGAGCGCGCCTCCCGCACCCCTCCGCGGCGGCGCGGCGGCGCGGCGGCCAGGGTGCAGCTGGCTGACGATGACGATGACGGCGACGCCGAGGCCGGTCGGCCGGAGGGTCAGCAGAAGGCGGAGGGCGGGACAGTGGTCATGCAGATAACTACCCCCTGGAGCGCGCGGCACGGCGGCACGGCCCCCGCCGTTGCCGGGGGCTCACGCCGCTCACGCCCCCTCCCGGCCAAGAAGCCTTCCAGCGAGCCTAAGCCGTCCCCGCGCATGCGCCCCGTTCGCGCCAAGAGGGACACGCCACGTGAAAATCCCTTCGGCCAACAACGACGCCCAGTGGCTGCACAAGCAGATTGAGAATCCTCCGACTCATGCACGAGCAATCACTGCCGTTGCACTGCCGTTGCACTGCCGTTGCAGCGACGGCCGAAAAGGCTCAACTTGACGATGCCGTTGCACACTCGCACTCTTTCGCGCATTTTACTATTTTTTTCTCAAGCGAGAAAAGGAGGAGACGGAGGCTCCAGGTAAAAAAGGAGCCGAAAGAAGCTGAATCGTGGGGACGGACGGGACGGACGGTGTCGTCGCTTCGACTTACTTCGAGGCGGCCTTTTTTTCGCATTATGTAACCCCCGCTGAATAGTGGAGCGGGCGGGGGGAGGGGGGAGCACAATGAGTGCTGTTTGAACAGGTGAGGGGAAGGGTGAGGGGCGGAGAGCGTGCCTCACACACACGCATGCGCCCACACCCGCGCGCACACACACGCACGGGGTCAATGTCAGCTGTTCGTCGCCCCTGCCGGCGCGGCCTTACACAACCGGAGCAGTCTGTCTTTTCGGCGGAAAAGCACGTTTCTCGCTTTAAGCCTATCATCGTGTTTGGACCGCCCCAAAGCAGGGCAGGCAGGGCGAACCCAGCAGTATGGCGCTCTGTCTCTCTCGCACCCCTACGGAGTGCGCCGTGGGTGGGACAGAGACAGCGGCGACTCTTCGGCCGGCGGCTTGCAGCGCGCACGCGGCTGCGCTAAAGCCGCAGTCAAACACGACTTATGCCATGGAAGCAAAGCGCGGGGACGCAGGCCCAACAGTGCCCCAACCGCAGTGGGCCAGAAGACCAGCGGAAACTCTAGACGCGTTTTGAAGTCCCAGAGTCACTAAAAGGGACTCGAACCGAACGTGTGACACCACCAATGGATTGCTCTCCCAACGAGGAATCCATTGGTGGGGTCACACGTTTGGTTCGAGGCCTGTTTAGCGACTCTGGAGCTCAAAACGCGTCTAGAGTTTTGGCGCCGCCTCCACGGGTCTTCCGGCCCACTGTGCAACCGGGACCTCGGCGGCACTCCGGACGGAAGCCGTGGCGGAAACCGCGGACGAACCGCGACACCGCCGTGCTGATTCCGAACAGTGCTTCCGGCCTTCTGTCTCTCTCGCACTCACGGGGCGTCCCGCAGTCGAAAACGCTGTGCCGAGCGGAATCAGTCCAGGGGCCGAGAGAAAAACAACAAGGGTGACGTCATGGCGCGGACCGCGTTCAAACTCACACGGTGCTACACGCGGCCCCCGCGTGTTGGACGGACGGTCCCTTCTGCTTGCAGAGATCTCATGGGCACTGCGAGGCTCTGCGCCATTCAGGGACCCCTCGACTCGCCGTCTCACTTAGTCCCTATCGCTCTCTCGGTCCCTCTCACACACACACTCACACCGAGCCCGTCATAAAAGACGCTCCACGCACACTAATCCACGCCCGACTGTATAATGCCCTCGAAAAATAACACAATGTGTGAAAAAACAAGAAAAGGGAAGTGACATTGGAATGTGAAGTCTCAGGTGTGGTCGATATATATGTTCTTACGTATGTATGGATGTGGCGGAAAGAGAGAGAGAGAGAGAGAGAGAGAGAGAGAGAGAGAGAGAGAGAGAGAGAGAGAGAGAGAGAGAGAGAGAGAGAGAGAGAGAAGACGGGAGAAGGGGACGGGAGAGAGGCAAGAAGAGGGAAGGACGAACTGTGATTCGATGATTAATGATCGATTGACCCGCTTGAGAGCGGCAGGGCATGGCAGGGCATGGCAGGGCGCTGGCGGGGACGCCAGCAGAAGGACGAACAAGCCGACACAGCTGGAATCGAGAACGAAAATAAAAACTCGGAAGGAGAAACTGCCTTTCAGAATCAACGACGTACTGTACCGGCAAAGCCCACAAAAAGAGCCCAATGTGTGTCTGGATTCGCACTGGTCTCGGAGAGAGTTCCTATGTGCAGAGTTCCTATCGAGCCAAGACAAGTTTCTCGTGCCAGTCCCACAGCGGATGCTGCGCCGCGCTGCCGCAGCGTGAATGTTCCACTTTAGGCCTGGGAGTCACCTTGTTGGCAGTCACAGTGTACCGTCCTGTGCTGTACCGCGGCGCTCAAATTACTTATTCATCGATTCCCCAGGACGATCAACAAGAGCTCAACACGCTATCGCGCAAGGCCCCGCCCGACCCCGCGAGGCCCCGCCGCGCCTCCCCGATTGGCACGGGTTCAACTCCCGCCAGAAGCGCGCCGTCGGGGACCGCTACCGCCACCACCACATTCCAGGCGGGACACGGGGAACGCGAGGACCACGGGGACCACCGCCACTGCCGCTTTCGGCCTGACGGCCACAAAGACCATCGCCAGAGTCCTCCACTCCAAGCCAGAGTCCGGGGTTTTTATATGCACGCCAGGCAAGGAATAGCACGTGCCCCACACACCAACACACACACACACACAGAGGCACGGCCGCGAATCTAGGAGCGGCATGCAAAACACCTCACAATGAGGGGGACAATGGGCAACGAAGGGAGCCGGGGATGCAAAGCCATCCCATCGAGAGGGGAGGCCCGCGTTCGTCCGGGAAGGGTGTAAACAAATCACCGAATTTGTCACTTTATGGGGCCTTATTGGCCAAACTAGGTGACAGTTGGCGGTTTTTGAATGGAGTGCGAGAAGGGGAGTCCTACGCCCTGTCCTTTATGGCGAGGGAGAGAATCAAACGTGGATCACGTAATTCGTGCTCGGAGCCTAATTGTCCCCCTCCCCTTCCCCACGCAAACCCATACATACTGCGGGGGCGGTTCCGTCTTTGGGACTAGTAGCGTACGTGTCCACCTGCGTGTCCCTGCGTGTGTGCGTGTGTGAGTGTGCGTGTGTGAGTGCGCGTGTGTGTGCGTGTGTGAGTGCGCGTGTGTTAGTGCGCGCAGAAGGCCGGGGGGATGATAAGCGTCCGTCGTCGGGGTGCATTGAATACTAATGCGTAGGGGAGGTCCGGCACGGTGACCTGGACGACGACGACGACGTCGAAGAGGAGGAGGAAAAGGAGGAGGAGGAGGAGGAGGAGGAACAGTGGCACGAGCCAAGCACACGCCGGCCGCCCCCCGCCTCCCCCGCCGCCGCCGTGTCCGTCACCCTCGTCCACTAGCCTCGACACGCGAAAAAAGAAAAGGATCATTGCCACTCGCCAAAAAATAAACTAAAGCCGAGGCAAATTTCAAAAAATTAAAAATGCTGAGAATTGTCAAAGTGACGGCCAGCCAGCCAGTCGCTTTCTAAAACTGAAACGGGGCTAGTGGTCTTCCCTCCGGGCCCGCTGGGCGCGCCGCGCGCCGCTGGGCCCCCGCTTGAGGCCTTCGCTGTCCTCTGTGCTTCGCTGCTTCGCCGCTTCGCCAAGCCGAGCCAAGCCGCGGCGAGGTGTGCGGCCCACTTTTCCGAATACGAAAAGAGTCCTCCTCCGTTC